CCCCTACTCCCACCCCACCTCACCCCCATTGTTCCACTATCACCACCATCATCACCCACCACCGATTGTTACTACCGTCGTCTACCGTCATCACCCACCATCATCGTCATCTTATTTTTATATTTATTACTATTATCACTATTATCCCACTACCATCGTTGTCCACCATTAGCACCCATTACCACCATTTTTTCCCACCATAACTTGTCGTCGTCCACCATTGCCGCCAGCCACTACCACCCATCCCACCACACCTACCATTGCCACCACCACAACTGCCATTTGTCACCACCCATCACACTATCACCTAAAAAACACCCGTTGTCGCTTCCGCCACCACCAACATCGTAGCCCCACCACCACCACTGCCAATCGCCATCATTGTTGTCCATCACCACCCACACCAACCACGACCACCGTTGTCATCTGTGGCTGTCATTACTTCCATTATCACTCAAAACTCACTACCACCATCACCGTTGCCACACACGACGACCACCACCACCACTACCGCCCACCCCATTATACCGCTCACCCCCATTATAACCGGTGCTTAAATTATTTTCTCTGTTCTATATTTGTAATTTAATTTTAGGTGTGAATACAAATATGTTTATTGTTGACCATTTTTTTTATTACTTTGTGTCTTCAGGCAAGGACAATAACTAGTATATATATATGGTAACATTAAAAGTAAAAAATAGTAACATTCAAATACAAACAAAATGGTAATATTCAAAACACAAAATAGTAATATTTAAACACAACAAATAGTAACATTAAAGATTAATATTTGAGAAATAACATTATTAATATGCTTAACAAAAAAAAATAGTAACATAATCAAAAAAAAAATAGTAACATAGAACATTGAACAACATTGAATATTAATATTTGTAACATGCTCGATAAAAAAATAGTGACATTAAACACCAACATTCTCAACAAAAAGTAGTGATATTAAAAAATAGTAACATGTCCAATAAAAAAGTAATAACATAGGAAAAAGTAGTAACATATA